GGCAGAGGATTTTTCCTCTAGCCTCTGCGTCCAGACCGGCTCTGGGGCCCACCCAGCCTCCTCTACAATGGGTACCGGGGTCCTTTCCCGGGGGTAAAGCCGGCCGGGGCGTGATGCTGACCACTCACCCCCATCTAGTGCCGAGGTCAAGGAAGAGAGGAGCTATACCTCCACTCACCCCAAACGCCTACATGGCGTATAGTGGGACAAACTTTACTTTACTTACAGCTGTTTTGCACCACACATTATGGTTATGAAACCATGACTCGGTTCTTCTGCGATTAGGTAATGAAATTTTGCTCACATCAGGCAATATGGCTATCCTTCCACGACTCGTTTCTTCCGCGCACAGACGGGGGCATTTCACCCACTACAAATGTTATAGTTGAATCAACAGGACTTGGTTTCTTTGCAAACAGCCAGTGGGATATTCTCCGCAATGGTTCTGTCACCAAGACTTTGTTACCACAGCCTCATCTGTGAGTACGGGGCCCACGACTCATGAAGCAGAAGGCATCAGAGCAAAAGACAAATGCTATAGGATGATGGTGCAGCAATTGCCGACGTTCTATTAACGTACCTTTCTGTTCGCTTTGTTTACAGTCGCCAGCAGGTTACAGCGTCTGCTTACGCCTCAGCTGAACCATATATCATTAAAGTTGCCACCATTCCCACTTCTGTCCCAGCACGGTGACCTCGGCACACGATATCCTTTCTGCAATGAGACTACCGTAAGTGGCTGCGAAAGCAAGTACTGCGAGTGCACGCATGTGATTGAGGTGCCACTGGGGGCTGTTCTGGAACTCATTCTCATTGACAAAGGTAAAACACTTGAGGCACCGGTTGAAATATACAAAGCGCTGTTAGAACTAATAACAAAATTTGTTTTTGCTCTGCAGCTCATTCACATAGGAGGCAGAACGATGAAACAATCTGAACTGAGCGGTAGCCACCATTCCCCAAATTTAATCAGCTCTTAATTTATTCACAATTAAAACTGTGACCTGTTGCTGGCATTTCCAAACACAGGACTTCATATGTTCTCTTCACCAAATATTATTAGGGAGGTCAAACCAAAGTGGATACGATAGGTGAGACATGTAGCACGCATGAAAGAGATGAGAAACGCTTACAAAATTTGATTTGGACTTCAGATTTAGGTATAGCTGCGGATAACAACAGAACTCAGAAATACAATTCAAGATGTAAACATAACTTATTTAGCTGAATACAGGATACAGCAATTTGCTCTCGTGAATGAGTAATGAAGATACTAAAGAGCTGTAACATGCCAAGGAACACAATACATCCAATAGCATCCTTCTATAAAAGAACTAGAATAATATTAGGATTTTAAGTTCTCATGATGGTGACTATGAAGATGGCTGTCCTCAGGGTTGCAGTGACCCATGTAACCTGGTAGCAGGTGACACAAGCTATGAAATTAGGAGTGAAGGCACTTGCTCATAACTGGGAGATGAAAATATAATTAAAGATTTTAGCCTCAGAATGTGTCATAATACTGGAAGGAGGCCTTTCAACCAGTCTCTTCAATTCAGGTTTTTGAACTAAAATTCTGTATGCATGTCATCTCCCTATGCGTGCTGTCTGCCCTTCCCATGCACCCTCCTTAATTTGATTATCCTAACAGTCTTTGGCGCAGAATTCAAATTATGAAACTCCCTTAGGATGAGGCTAAGTTTCACAGTAGGTCATATATGAAACAGAAAGGACATTAATTAACATTTTATATGTTGATGTATTATAGGGAACGCATATGATGCAAACCATCCATTCCACTTGCATGGTCATGCATTCCGTGTGATAGCCATGGAACGTCTTAACAGGAGCACGACAGTGGAAGAAGTTAAGGCCAGAGATAAAGCAGGCCTGATCCACCGGAAATTAAAAGGAGCACCGATCAAGGACACTATCACCGTTCCAGATGGAGGTTTCACGATAGTGCGTGTCCATGCCAGTAATCCAGGTATGTGATATTTTCTTTGAAGGAAAAATCAAATGGGAGGGAATAAGAAACACAATTTTTTTTATACTTTAAGGACAAACATCTTTGATGGCAAATTAACAGACAAAATAATGAGATAAGTGGACAGTCTCATGAATGAATGAAGATACCAAAGATGGTTTTGAACATTTACATGTGCACCCATCCTGTAAACTGTCAGTTTACTAACTAAATTATCTTGAATTAGTTATGCAAAAATATGTATTATTAATAAGTACAGCTTCTATTTTGTTTCACACTGAAATAAGTTCTTTCCTTCAGGTTACTGGTTATTTCACTGCCATATTGAATTTCATGTGGAACTTGGCATGGCAGTTGTTTTCAAAGTGGGTCAACACCATGAATTCCCGTCTTCTCCGAAAGCCTTCCCTCGATGCAACAATTACATGCCATCGGAAGAAGAGGCTGAACAAACAAACGACGTGGAAAATGACATTCAAGCCCCTAACAGCTTTATTCCACACTGGTGGCCCCTCAGATCATCTTCAGCATCCATGATATCTGTTCCCCCAGATCTTGCCCTTTTGTTATTGCTCTGTGCAGCTGTTCGGTGACCAAATCTGCCCTACAGACAGTTTCAGCTGTGAGGCGACGTCTTTCCACAAAATCTACAAACAGATGATGTAGCAGCAGACAGTCTCCCTTTCATTCATTCTGTTTCAAGGTCCTAATGGAGCAGAGTTCACTCTTGGGAATGTATCAGGGGGCCGTGTATGTGTGTTTGTCCGTGTGTCCTTCTCCTGATTAAACTACGTGCAACAATATTAAACTCACTCCATGATGCATAGTACTTCTTCAGAAGTATATAGTTGTTCAGATCATCAACAAACTATGCCTCGTATGGAACTTGTAAATTTATTTTAATGGTGATAACAACCTGTCACTGGACACTATCCTGAGCCAGATGACACTGTCTTTTTAAGATCAGTTTTTTTTAATATTGTCTACCATCTACACTGTGGAAGATATCCATTAATGTACTTATTTATAAAAAGCGTAATAAACAGTCATTATTACAGAATATCACTATTAACAACAACATATAAAATTTTATCTAATGATCTTCTATCAATATTATAGCCCTTTATACCATGCAGTTTTCAATGCAATCAATCATTTCATTACCAAGAATTATTTACTCATTTAATTATATTAGATGTTATAAAGATAATCATGTTTCAGCTTTCATAGGTTCATGATGAGCATCTTCATTCACTGTTTCATATATAGTTAAAATGCATCTTTAAAATATTATAAGCATTAAGGTTTCTAGAAAAACTTGAAAGTGTAAAGTTAAAATATTAGTTGGAGTTGTTGTACTTTGTTCAAATTTGTTAAAATGTCAAAATTATCACTGTAACATTGAACTTCTCTCGCATCACTAATCACTCACTATTTTCATAAATGTTAAATTTCAATGCTGATAATGCAGGTCACTTTTTGTTCTTGCGTTAATTCCTTCAAGTTTCTTGTTGTTCAGTTGCACATCAAGCATCTTTACCTGCATACCACCACTTTTGTGGATAATTATAGGAAACATTTCAATAGCTCCCTAGTTGCTTGCATCTGTTGAGACCCCACAAAACAGAATATTCTAAAGAGACTGGACACTCGTTGCCTCTCAATGGAGGCAGAATAGTCCTCTGAAATGTTGATAAACTTCTACCAGAGTACACAGTGCTACAACCTAGAAGACAGCCATCTTTGGACTCATTGCTGTGAAAATCTGAAGTGATCTTAATAATAAAATGCGTGTTTGTGGAATATCTTGTGATCATTCTAAAACAATGTGTTTGTGTAATTCATGAATTATAACTGTCAAAACCACATTTTTAAGGAATTCAAAATACAGCTAACTGTTCAGTGGTTTAAATCATACTTCATAACAGAAGGCAACAAGCAGAAACAAAATCACCATATTCATACCATAGCACCTGTTCAAATTGGGGCATTATAAAACATGAAGTTAGGTTAGGTTCAATACTTGGTCCACTGCTTTTCCTTATATATATCAATAACTTATCACCAACCATTAATTCTCAGTCTATGCCCATACTTTCTGCAGATAATACTAACATTATCATTTCACATCCAGAAACTGAGTGTTTCCAAATCAGCATGAATGAACAAATCAATTAAAGGCAATAAACTCACAATAAATTTTTACAAAACAAATTCCATGAAATTTTATACTACCAACAAAAATTGTGTTAATCTAGGTATAGGGTATAAATTAAGCCAAGGATGTAGAAATGTGACAGCATAAACAATTTGTGGACCAAACAATTTAGTTGTTTCATTTAGCAGTATGTTAGTCCCAAAAGTTTGGTATTATCAGTGGGAAAGAGCAAAATGAGAATTCGAAGGCTTACCTGATGCCAAAACAATGTTCTTCTTAAATTCAAACTATACTGACGCACTTCGAATTTTCTTATTTCGTATTTTTCTTGCTTACGCACAGACAGGAAAGCACTTGCATTTGAATTGCAATGTCACCAACAGTTACGTATTTAATTTCTCGCCTGTTAATGAAACTTTTTCGTTACAAAAATACAACTTGACTTTACGTTTCATAAAAGGTATTAATATCACTCCATAAAGACGGAAAAAATATTCATTAATCAAAACCATATGAACACTTACGTGATAAATGATTCTTGAAAATTCCTACCGGACTGGTTCCATATTGTGTGAAAGCAGCACGTGGCCGGTAAAGTGAAGACGTACGGTAAATATTTGGGAATTGTACCTGAGGTTTTTTAGGCTGAGAGTCCAAAGATGGTTGTCTTTTGGGTTGTAGCACTCTTGATTCTAGCTTATCTCTGGCTTACTCTTTCTCCCCTCTGGTGCCCTGAAAAGGTCTATTTATTGGCTTCATCTCCCCTCCTGGTCTCATGGCCTGATCCTCCTAACCCTATGTAAACAATCCACATCCTAATCCTCCTCAGCCCAGAAGAAGGTGGCAGCAGTTCCAAACCTGTTCTTTTTGTCTCATACTGAAGACCTGAAGCTGCCCTGTCATTTATGGCACATAATTTAGAAACACCTTGCATATAATTTTACATGTTTGTCTTATGCACATGTAACTTGGTATCTCTCTGATAGAACAACACTGAGAACATTATTAATCAGAATACTGGAACTTACAAGGCAGAAACAAGTATGAAAATTATTGGAAAAACCTGGAGAAAGAGGAAGAAAAGAACCAGATATGCAGAAAGAGTAAAGTTGCAAAGCCATTTTATGTGAATGGGATGTTTCTATTTCAATGCCTTGTCTCATAAAAATGTACTGGGATGCATAATTACCCTGTGAGTGGTCATGATACATTCATTTTGAAAACAGAAGCATTAACTACAGACAACAGTCCTACAAAACACCTCCATCACTGAGATTAATACATACTGTACTGTAAGATCCACCTGAAAAATGCAAAATCAAATTCCATACAAAAATAGAGACAATATAACTCAACAATTATTTGGTCAAACATATTCATATCTTGTTGCAGAAAATTAAAAATGAAATTGAGACTAGAAACTTGTAATCAGGACAGCATAGGTGGTCACTAGGACAAGACTTGAATCCAGAATCAAATATATTTCTCCAACTGATGATGGTCAATAAAGACATCGAAACACATAGTGAATAATTCATTTCAGTAATAATGCACCTACACAATTGATACTGTTGGATTTGACAGTTCTTTTTACATATTCCTTACTAATTACACAAGAGAATGCACTGGCTTAAGATTAAATTACACAGTGCTACATCCTTTCTTGAGCAGCTGATATTGTCACATAAATAGTTTTAATAATTTCAATAAGAGAGTCATTAAATAGTCTGTCTGTATGTATCGTAGGGGTCTCAGTGGCCTTGTGCTGCTTGGTCACTGGGACCGTGGGTTCGAATCCCACTCAAGCCATGGATGTTTGTCCGTGTTGTGCTGTCCTGTGTACAGGTAGAGGCCTTGCGACGGGCCGATCCCTTGTTCAAGGAGTCCTACCAAATGTCCATAGAGTAAGCCAATGAAAAGTAGGGACCCGCAGCGCTCAGGCACTTGAAGAACGTGTCGTTCCCAGTATGTATTGTATCTGTGGGTCAGAGTGTAATGCTATTCCTCCTGCTTGGATCCACACCTGGAAATCCATTTACAAGTTTAAAAATTAGGTTCACATACTAACAGTTGGTTAGTAGTTCAACTATTTTAGTTATGAAACTTTATATATAAACCAAGCTCTTATGCTCTTGAGGATGTCATTAAAACATTAACCCCCAGGGATATTTGAGATACATCAAACAGAAAACAATATCAGCCTTAGAGATGACACACTTACCATGTGCAGCATGTTGCAAATGAGAAGACCGAGATCTGAGGGTTTCAAGGCAGCATGTATGAAGATGGCTGTCCTCTGGGCTGTTGCACCATGTATTGTTGTAGAAGTTCACCAGTGTTTCAGAGATATAGGACTGGTCAGACAAGGTACAACTTTAACTGGACCAGTGGAGCCTGATTGTCACCTTTTTCCACACTGGTCTGGCTAAGGTTCTACCTAGTTTGGTTAGCCCCATATCTCAAACTAATTATTTGTGCACGTCTTACTCATTGCCATGATGGAGACAGCAGCTCTTAAATATCACAAAACTGCTACCAGACTACGTGGTGCAACAACCCAGAAGTGAGCCACCTTCAAGGAAAAACACTGTACAAAAACTACAAAATTATAATAGAATATGTATTTTGATTCATAACAGCTTCTGAACAAGTAACATACGATGTGTAAAAGTCATTTCAGTTTTGATCTTCTTAACTTTATGGAATGTTTTATTACAAAAAACTTTTTTTTAAATTTCAAACAAAGAACACATCTGTTCACACATTTATTTATTGCTTTTTTATCATCTCACTTTAAAATAAGAATTATATTAAGCTATGTATTTACTACATGACATGTGATCACAGTGTACAGATTATTTGTTTGTTACATTCAACTAACAGAGAAAGGAAGAGAACCGACTGCAGCAAATTAAATTTTAAAAAATGCACAAATGTGCAAACACTTCAGAAGAGTTCAGTCACTGCTTATTACCAAGCTACGCGATTTCTTGGTTTTCAAGCACAGCACAAGGTTCTATTTTGCAATTGTCTTCGCCTCCTCTCAACATATTACTTTTATGTACAAAGGTTTTACCCGAGACAAACTTTTACCTTAACTCTATAGTGACAGACTGTCATTTAATGTTGAATACAGTTCCAAGGATATGCAGAGCTGAGGTAATTACAACTTCATCTGTACGAAGTTGCTGATGTGCTTAGAATTAATTATTTCATTTCAGGAGAATGTTTCTCCATTGAGAAACTTGAAGCAGTTGTTCTTTTCTACAATTTTGTGTGAGTGCACATTTTGACATTTTTTGCCTAACATAATTTTGATGTTAACCATTGGTATTTGGTTATAAATGAAGGAATCTATGAGCTGAGTTTCTCTGCACTTTTGTGTGCTATGTAAACAGTGTTCTCACAAAGCCATTAGGAGGGTAAGATTATATGTAATACAAATGCTATTTTGAAATACAGCTTTAGCCTGAAAACTAATAAGTTCAAATCCTGCCTAAGGAATCAATGTTTGTGTACATCATCATTGTATTCATCACCAATTTGTGGCTATCTAGAAATATCCCTCAAACTGCAGTTCCTCTTGGTGTAATTTTCTCCAGCCCCTTGTCACTTCATCCCTCTAGGTCAAAATATTATCCTCAGAACTGTTGCCAAAATGTTGACAAACCTTCAGCAATCAACACGGCTTATCCCAAAATGCTGAAGTTACAGATTAAAAGACTTATGACTGAAATATTGGGAGGTGATTTTCAATACTGACAACGGCCTGGGAAAAATTATACAGCAAGAAAGAAAAACAGTATTTACAATTTCTGTAATGTTCATTACCTGGACAAGTCAAACAAATGATGTCAGTAACAGCTTCAAACATGAACTGCCCATTTGGAAAAATCAAGTCACACTTTAAGACTGGCTACAAGTATTAAGCTTGCCAACAGTTGAGGGTTGCTGTTCCCTTTCTTGTCTAGTCAGACATCATCTTGAATATTGACCGAGGAAGCTCTCTAAAACACATAATTATGTATGCATGCGCACACACACACTCTCTCTCTCTCTCTCCGCAAATTCATTAACAAACAAGTATTAAAAAACACATTACACCTATCCCTCAATTCTTTATTTACAAATTTCCAATTTATTAATTTTCACTACATGAAGAAAAAACCTTCATCCAATGGCCGAGCATCAGCTTTGTGAGTAACAAACACAGAGGAATAGAGAAGTACACAGCACATGGAAAATGTGAGGCTGACTAAATTCTCTCAACCACCAGCTCCTCCCAATCTGGTTGTGAATGATTTGTTATACACGCTGATTCTTGATTATCATTATATGTACAGTAATTGAAGTTGTTAAATTTTTAAGGTTTCTTTGTTTATGTATGTTCTGATGTTTATACTGTTAACTACAGGGACTGCTGTACAATGTAAACATTTGATTTAACACTTCAATTGTGCCTTACAGGGTAAAATAGGTAATAAGTATCATAAAAAAGCAATACTGTTATAATTTTTATGACATGCTTAAGGAGTAAAAAAAATGTTGGATAGTTTTTCTTGGAGTCAGGAACCAGTCACAATTTGTCACATGGAAATTAATGAGAATTTCATTTTCAATTTACAAATTTTCATCTTACAAACACTTCATTGCATGACTTACATTTCTAAATTGAGGGATCAGTGTAGAGTAAAAAGTTACTTTAAGAGAATTATGTTTTTAAAATATACACATAAAATAAATGAAATCTGATAAAATATTCATAAAAACTCATTGCCTGTAAATAATCTTTCTAAAATTGCATTAATCTTCCAGTCTGTATGTTATTATACACTGCTACACTTTCACAGACTTATCAAATCCATGTACTACCATTGTGCACTTATGGGAAACAATATGATACACCCACCCACTTCTGTTAGCAACCAGAAACATTCAGATGTTCATATACACTGTAATACTACTGGCTTATTGTGGAAAACCAATTCTGTTGTTTGTTATATATCTGAGCCCTGCTGCTACATGTGTCCATTCAATACCAAGCTCTATGCCATACGCGAATTGTTATATTGAACCACGCACAAAGACTGTCAAAATTTTTACACATGAAAATACTGTTTATAAGATCTCCGGTTGTGGCCACATGCCCTTAATTCTGTTTGATGCAAAATGTTAAAGGAGAAACAGATTTCATATGCAATAACAAAAATTTAACGAAGCTTTTTTTAAAACAAATTCAAAGTCTATGTGACCAATCAAAAATCTATTGAAACATATGCAAAAATCATAATATTTCGTTTTATTGCTGAATGCACATAAACATATTTCCATGTAAAAACGAAGTATGACACTCTGCACTCATAAGAGCCAGGTTTGTTGGTTTTTAATTGCCTCTGCCAAGAAAAGCTCTCTTTAAAACAAAAAGAAGGAAATATCTCAGAGTCCAGTGATCAAAATGAGTGATCCAATGTAGCGACTCAATTACAATAAGCATTATAAAGTCACAGAAAATGCAATGAATGTGAGTGTTGGAAGTTCCGATTTTTACAGTAACGATGAACCACATAACAGTAGGTAGCCAGCTGTTTTATCACTAAATTCAAGAGATCAATAAGAACTACTTCAGTCTCAGAGGAATTATGTCATTGTCACAAAGCACAATGTTAAAAACAAGCGAGTATCATGTATACATAACAGGGGAAGAATACACTTTCTCCGACAAGACTAATTTTAACTAACCACGTTTCAATCATTAACTACATTTTTGATACCCACGATGTACATTAGTAAGTGCACGGTGCTGTGTCGTCTACCTTACAACATTCCCAATTTAGCAGCTCTTTATTGTAATGCATTTATTGTTATATAGCTAGCACCTTTGCTTAATTTCATTATGGGCTGTGCAAAAAACACAGAAGAATGTCTTGCCTAAATCATTGTTCAATGATTGTCAAGAGGCTGACACTACCACCAAACTGGTCCAGTCAGTATATTTTCAGAGTTCTGTACATTGGCATGGACCTCACTGCAAGCACCAACCGCTGGAAGGAACTGTATCAGTCTGCGATGTCAGTGTGATCTTTACTGCCAGCATCTTTCGACTGAAGTGTGAAGCCATTGGCCATACGCTGATAGTGTGGTTTCCAGGAACTGCCAGGACGACTGTAGTCCAAGTGGTCATATTCCAGGTCTACAAACATCATATATGTTTAATTCATTGACCAAAAACTATGAGAACAGACACGCACAATTGGAGCTGGACGTAACAAATGCTGTTCCACGCGCATTTTAAAAGTTAAATCATATAACGTGCTTGTTTCTATGGCATGCTGCCCCCCCCCCCACCCCCCAATATATCTAGTCAGCTTCCCCTGCCCCTCCTTCTGTTTGATCTCATCGTACAAATGCTCCACCTTCCGATCTTCTTGAAGATCCTCAATACTGTGATACACGTTCACATTCGGGTTACCTGCATCTGCCTCACGATTCTTGGTAGAAGTGGGATGATCATATGTCAATCCATATGCCCCTGCAATGCCAACATATGTAATTATGCTCCCTAGTAAGAAGTCAAAACATGATAACGCTGGTCACGTGCATACGCATACAATTCATGGAAGAAATAACTATAAATTTATTAGAAAGCGTATAATACTGGACAGCGGAAAAAATGTAATTGGTCAAATTCTCGTGAACAGGACAGGATTGCTACGATATGAAAACATCTCCTAACTTATTATATTTGAATATACAATTATCACACATGCAACTGGTACACTTCCCTGAATGTTTGCACAAAAACAAAATTAATTTAGTTACTTGGGAATCATGTGGAAAAATCACAGTGACTGCAAATCTTTTTCTTTTCAGAAATATTTACACACCACACTGGACTGGTAGTACTAGATACTAGATTTTTGAACGATCGATGCGATAAAACGATAGTTCGAGGAACGATAGAAGCGGGAAAATGTAACATTATTTTATATGGGATGTATCCGGGACCGAACAAAACGGACGATGCATCCGGGAAAACAATAGTTCGGGGAACGACGGATAGAGGTTTCACTGTACAAGCAATGCTCCTGCAGAGTACATTAGCAGCAGAAGCAAATCTGACTGAAAAGACTGCTGTTAGCATTGTTGGGAATGCGTGCTACGCAAGCAAGAAGCGCGCACACGTGATCTGTTTTGACTCACACTGATCACAAAAATTCCTCATGGGAGAGTCAAGCTCTGATCATGTTAAGCACCAATTACAGAGGCAGACAAATGTTTCAAAGAACGAAATGAAAGCTTTAATTTCATTCCTCTACGTTTTTGTACAAAAAACACTAAATTAATTCAAATTATGAGCTAGATTTTACTGTTGCAATATGTATGCTACGTATTTTGGATGGTGGCACGCTGTGTACATCAGACGATGCTGAAGGGTTAAAAATAAAACATTGCAAGTGAATTAAAAGAGGCTAAGATGGTTTGAATACATAAATACAGGAGTACATTATTCTTTTTTCTAGAAAATAAAATTAGATGGTAGAAAGCAAATGCCGATGAAGATCTACAAGTCAGTGACTAGATAAGGTGAGAAAAAATGCTGAAAGGAAAGTGAGAAATTACTGAAGAGAGGTCCTGAATGATTAGTAGTGGATATGAAAGTGTGTCTGTGCCCTACGCGATACAGAGGAAAAAAAAAAAAAAAGTATACTACACAGGTGCATGTGATCTGAATAAACAACGTTTATGTACCTTTGTTACTGATATCATCATCATCTTCACTGCAACCAGTGCCCAGCTTCTGCCGCTCCAGGTTGGTGTTGTTCTTGCTAACGCCAAGATCATTACGGATCTTTGTCTGGACATTGTTCAACAGCAGGTTCGTTCCATCATCTCCCTTGGAAGCTGGAGTCTGGTATGAATACACCGGGTTGTCAAAGTGGTGTCGATCTGCAGACAAATCACTCACACAGTTTCATATAATAATTCAATTAGGCAGCCAATATATTCACATAACTATGAAAACAATATAACATACCTATATATCATTTTAGAAAGGCTGAAGCATGATAAAAATGAAGGAAAGATAATTTTTAAGAATGCTGAATTTAAATAACTGTAAACCCAATAGCTTTTTCATAGGTGTTCGTACTGCCACTGAAGATGGCAAACAGTTGAAATATATGGGGCATGTAAAGTAAAATAATATTGTCCTCGTTAAATACGAGTATGACGGTATTTTAAAATACACACTGATATAGAGATGTACAAAGAACTGGATCTTCACACTTTGCATTGGAATGTCAAAGCAGACTTGCAACTCAAGGTGGTGCACACACTTGGCAACACTGAGGCAGGCTGGTGTCAAAATAAGATAACCTAGGTTCTATAATTTAAGCTGTCACCAACCGATAGCAG